TGCTATGAGTGAGCTGCCAATTATCTTGTTGAATCGCAGCTCAACGGTTCAAGTTTATGGCCAAGAAAGAAAATATGTCTTACTTTGTACTATAAAAATCAATACGACCATTAATAATGACGTCACATATTACGCAACATTGTCGTGACTCTACAATTGTGTCAGATAATGTTTTGTCACCAAATCGTGCTACTTTGCATGTCACGACATGACATGGATTTATAATATAAGTTACAATGAACCCTATTAACTATTTAACTAATTAGTTGTATTTAGTTGGTCTTTGGTACTAAAGATAGCTCTCTCCTTTCTCGTGATATTTCGTTTCGATTTTTTCGAAATCACTCCCCTCCATCGAGAGTCACGTGATCAGGGAATGATCGCTTAGTAAAAGAGAGAGGACAGGCATATTTTTGATGCAACGAATTCACATTTTACCGTGGGTTTCTGACACCAAAGTCTCTGTATAAAATATACCGTCATCATTGTCTTTCATCTTTGACAAAATTAGATAACAATTTTAAACACGGATTTTGATGTCAAAAGCCCACGGGTAGAGACATACATTATACATGATGAATATAGAACTAATGAAGATTGTCAAACTTCTCTATTAAAGGACCCAAACTACTAAAATACTTATCAAAATTTGTGTCGTAGTATTTTTTTTTAAATTTGGTTACATCGTAATATGATGAAATGCCTACCCTAGTTAGATGTTTTACATTTCCTGTTCACCATGACTGTTTTGTAATAGGGCTAGACGTTTTGTGTTACGACTGATTCTACATTTCTTCCGCGACATCCATTGTATTACGCCATGGAGTCTTTTATGTCACCTCTCAGAATTACAATTTTTTACGCGCTCCACTTAGATAATGGTTGTATTATTACGTAATGTCTCGTTAAATTACGGAAATGTTACTTACTGATAGTAAATAACAATAATAAGTCATAACCTTTATTATGTACAAGCTGGCTGTATTAAAAAAAAACTTAATTAGTAGGCCGTCTTCTTTGAAACTATGCTCTACATCTATGCCAAATTGCATCGACCTCCGTTGAGCCGTTTTGCCTTTAAGATATAATACCTTTTAATGAACATCCATCTATACGTCTAAACATTCTTTACCTTTTTTTATATCATAAGATGGCAAACGAGCGAGCGGCCACCTGAAATCGCTGAAATAGCGAAGTGACCGTTGCCCATAGACAATATGCGTTGCCTACCTTAATGGACGGAGAAGAAGATGCAGAGAAAGATAATATTTTCCCTTCCCATGGATCCTCTCATCCGGACAGTCCACTTCCATCCTTATAAGAAAAAGGGTGGGGAGGGAAAGAGGACTAAATTAGGCCTCCGGGACGCACACTCATCAGACTGTACTCGGAATTGCTTCCACTTAAAGCCAGTCTTCTGTGTGGTCGTGGTATTTCACCGGGTGAGCCGGAACAATTCGTGCGAAGATGTTAAAGCGGGCTCTACTAATGTTAAAAAAGATTTTTTCCAATCCAAGTATTTGATATTTTTTAATAAATAATATTAAATTTTTGGCATTCGTTTTAATATTATTTTATTCGTTTTTAATTAGTTTGAATATTCTCATTTGAACGTATAATATGTAAATTAAAAAAAATAAACGTTTTTTTTTTATAAAAATGGCTACCTGATTTTTAAACATGAAAGAAAGTATAATAAGAGATATTTTCAAGATGAAGTCTATACCTAAGCCTTGTCTAATACAGACTGAGAGACATACAGAGAAAATCCAGAAATTTAATATAATATTCACGATATCACATTCTGAACCTTAGTATGTCAAAACTTCAAGCAAATTGTTACTCTATTTCTAAGTGAAAGAGTTGATTTTTCGGTGTTTCGTATTTTGAGTTATAGAACATATTCGTATAAAAACAATTTTGATCTTTGGTTACATAATAAACTCACTCATATTTTATAGTAATGTTTTATGTATGCTATCACTTTTTTTTTCAGTAAAGAGTTGGTCCGTGAAGGTTTTAAATGTTACAATATTCTTACGATTAAAAAAATATTTGCGTCTATTTCACTCAAGCCTTTGAAAAATATATTTATATATACACATGCCGAGAAAAACAGACGTAATACAAATGTTTTGTCATATAAAAGCGAACAAAACTTTAGTTTTAGGACCTACTTTTGAACAAAAAAACATTGTATAGTAAAAAATGATACAGGCCAGTTGCAACAAAAAAAGTAAATAAAAAACAATAACTTTAATTAACTTTCCCGTCGTGTAACTCAGCGTAAATAAAATGCTAAACAAAAAGGCAAAAGCACAACAATATTATGCCAAATGCTTATTAATATGATTCTAATATTATAAGCGCATAGCAAATTTTTTTTTTAATCTGCACGGACAAAATCGTTACTGCCAGCTAGTAATTTAAAAATGTAAAAACGTAACGCATTCAGCTTATCTTTTAGCAGAGCGAGGTCTCCGCTCGCTGTAGCGTGACGTTGCTGTTGTTGTTGCCTGTTGCTATATTCAATTCAGTATTTGTGCACTGAATTGTAGAAAAAATATTCTCTCCACACACACACACATACACGTGCACGCACACGCACGCACACACGCTAAGGACAATATGATTCAAACAAAACTATTCAAATGAATTCGTTTCAGAGCGATTTTTGTTATATTTCCTTACCAAAAGCGAATTCACATGGGGGCTTGTACAATTATGTTTGTTACTGCTCAGTAATGTGCCTAAATATAGAGGTTATTTTGTGTCGCATCCATTGACACGTTACGAATGAATGAAGAGTTTTCATTCATTCATTCGTATCTATCGTTCATAAAATTAGTTTCACGATTTTCAACTTTGTGTCCTATCTAGCTTCTTTATATCAGTGTAATTTGTAAGTTTCAATAGATGTGGAATTAATCTTACAGTCTCATTCGATCTCCAGTCAGTTTATAATCTACCGATGTTCCCAGTTCAACGGCGACAGAAATACGTGCAATTCAATATTACTTTCGCCAAAGTCTGGCATCCTACGTATTCAATTGAGCCGCAAAACGCTATCAATGCCAGGAATTACGATAATGTCGATACAAGATGGACATTGGAATACCACAAATGTTAAACTTAATTAATCAATAATTAATAAGTACTAGCTGTCGCCTGCGACTCCGTCCGCGCAGATAAAAATCTTGATAAGTAGCCTATGTGTTCTTCCACACTATGCTCTACCTCTATATCAAATTTCAGCGAGATCCATGCAGCCGTTCTGGAGATACCTTCTAACAAACATCTATCCATTTAAAGATTCGAATTTATAATATTAGTATGATTAAAGTAGACAGTAAATATAAGATGTAGCCAAAAAAAGTCACACAAAATCTGTAGTTTCTAGTTTATTAAGTGTCACAAGATTTTCGTCGTGTTGTAGCTTATTTTTTTCTATGTCATTTTCTTTGTCTATGCTATTACCGACCGCGGCACAGATACGCTTGTCGCACTAAATGTCACATCTAGTAAACATAGTTCCGTATATTTTTTCTAGTACACTATACTTTTTTTATTTATTTGATAAAATGTACAAATGGAATAGACTAAAAGAGACAAAAAATACTTCAAAAGAGGTTAATAACATTGAACCGAAGTTATTTTGAAACGTTTCCAAGTGACCGTAATTTAGTATGAAGGTTGCAAAGACTGGTCACACAGACACGCAGGTATCAGGACAGGATTTTTAAAGGATCAAATCTCATATAACCCTGTCTTCTCCATAGTATCGTGGTTGGCCGATCTTTGACCATCAAATGCCTTCAAAATCTACAACTCTGTGGACAAAAATCGGTAAAAATTCGGCGCTACTTTCCTGACACATGTAGACGAAATATTCTACAAGATTAACTACACATATATTGCGACACTAGTTTAAGTTAACATAAATTATTGATTTGCTTATCGTGGGTTTACGAGACCATAATCCCAGCTTAAAACCCATTGTTATCTCTGTTTTTACAAAGGTAGTGACAGAGATGTCGATATGTTTTATACCGAGATATTGATCACAGAAACCCACGGTTAACTACGCTTAGTAAATTCTAGATATAGAACTAGGCTATAGAATAAAATCGTTGGAGACACAATTGTAAAAAAAATAGACCCATATCTTCTTTCTCTTAAAAAAAACTGTCATAATAATATGTTTTCGGACAGATGTTTTAACAGTGGAAACGATCGCATGCACCGGTTGTTTAGCAAGACAAAACAATGACTAAAAAGGTCGTATGCCTTCGACCTGCTATTGTCTGCGCTTAAATCATTTCACAGTTTTATTACACGTCACTTCATTCTGTCAGAATCGTAAATAAAATCAAAATTAACCGTATATTATAAATAATGTATTCAACTCACCGGTGAGAACCTGTCTTCTTCTGCATTTAAGAGATCACCTACAGAAGATGCCTTGGCCTGAGAGGCGAGATGTCTCCTACTATTCAGGACATAGGACAACTCATCCAGGTACCTTAGCGTTAGATTCGCCATTTCACACACAAAACACTAATCCGTATCGGACATTTATCGTCACACACCAACAATGCAACAATAGCAGAGGAAATCGTTCACGTAAACAATTGCTTCGCGGACGTATTGTGTACCGAACGTCCTTTCACATCCATAGCTGGAGCGCGACTGGCGGTCCGACGTATTACTGCAGCTGCCCGAGGTCACAGATTATGAATACGAAGATAGGTATTGCTTTTAATTATAATCTAATTAACGGTAGCTCCTGATTAGTATGGACCGATGAGTTTTAATTGTAAAATACGCTATTTTTTCCCCGTTACACCGCATTCGCTTTACCTGTTGGCAAGCGGTTCTTACATCTGCAACAGTCGGAAAAAAGACGCGTTGAATAATTTATAGTATATAGGAGAGCATAGTATATAACGTAATAATATTCAGCAGAACATAGAATCTATGATATTATCACAAAATAAATGTTTGATCAGAAATATATCTTTTATTAGTTCGTTGTTCTTTTGCGATAGCTGCTGCTTCGGCAATACTCTACCGATGCTCTATTTGCGGTTTTTTGACGTTTAATTAAAAAAAAAATTGACATTAATTAAACTATGCTCTATCCTTGAACTCGTTGCTTCAACTTTCTTTATTAAAAGACTCAGTATGAATATATTTTATTGCGTTTTCACGAATATTTATTTTTATAATAAAAGACCTGTGTATAATTTCGAAGAATATTCTTGCATAGTCTTTGTCGCAATTGCGAGTTTTGCGAGTGCACACAGCGCGGTATGGCGCGATGTTTCGTGCCTCGAGAGACGTTTGCGTCTCGTTTCCTGGCCGTTACGCAAACAATGGAGAAATGAGAACAGTTCCACTTTTACTAGTTGTTGGCACAATGGCTCTTTCAATGTTCACAGGTCGGGCTAAGAGCCCTTTTATTTTACAAGTTAACGATGGTTTTTAACCTCAAGTAAAGATTTGAGGTTAACTGAATTTATGCCCACTTAGGGGCTTGAAGCTTACCCTAAGTTAGTGACTAGGTCATAGTCACCCACGCTGGCACAGTGCGGTTTGATTTCAGATATCTTTAAATTTCTTCGTAGATATGTGCAGCATCACGAAGTTTCTCTTTACCTAATCGTCCGGTGGCAGCACCGACGGGCCGCGTCCGCGAAATAATACCAGTATCACTCAACCCGATGAAGGGCCCCCGATGGGCTCGAAACTAGTCGGTGCCACCACCGGACGAATATACGTCAGTGTTTAGCCGTTTTTATATCAGTTTACTAAAATGTCTCACGAAAGTTTAAATAGTTTTTTTTTACATTAAAAAGATCGAAATCATGTTTATTAATTATTTGTGTGTTATGTAAATTGATACATGAACGAATATATCCGTAATCCGATATCCGTTAAGAATCCTTGCTATACAATTTATTGATATTATTAGTATAATTCTATACTTCCACGTTTCTAAGTCACGCTCTGTTTGTTCATACTAATTTGTTACTATATTTTATTAATTAGTACCTGGATGACTGACCTTTGCTCGGGATTTTTTTTTAATTGTGTTTTTTGGAAGTTATATTTAAGTACGAATTACTAATAAAATGATGAAATATGAATAATATTTTTCGATCTTACCGATAGAAAAAGTTAAGTTTATGTTTAAATTGATTTATCGATAAAACACGAATAAAATTACATTTTCTAAAAATGATTTCTAGCTAGATCGATTTATCGCCCCCGAAACCCCCTATATACTATTATATATAAAAGAAGAGACATTTTTAGTTAGAATCCTGTGGCGCGAATGACGTGCTTTCGTAACAAAGTCAAGTGTCAGAATGATTACTGAGGGGACATAAACGTCGACTTTTCAGCAAGGCTAGTGTTGCGCCAGTACATCGGCATGTCGGATTTTCTTTCTAACAATTTAAACAATAATTCTCAAAACGATAACGGTTTAAAAGTTATATTGGAAAAAATATTATCTGTTTTCCCTACCAAAATATATGTACGAAATTTGCTGTCGCTCGCGACTCCGTCCGCGCGGTGTAAAGAATAACCTAATTAGTATATTCTACATTTATGTCAAACTAGATGTCGCCCACGACTTGCTACGTACACTTAAATAAAAACTTAATTAGTAGCCTATGTTCTAGACCGAATTTCTTCGGAATACGTACAGCTGTTCGAGATACTTTCAAAAAAACATCTATCCATCTAAACATTCGCATTTATAATATTAGTAAGAAGTAAAATAAATATTATGAACAGGAAAATATTTATTTCCAACCGGTAAAATATCAAAATTGTCTATAAATGTAACATTAATTAGGTGAAACTATGAATAAGCTTTATACGATTTCTCCCATAACAGTAAAAAAAAAAGAAAATTTGATAAACAAAACATGACAGCCGCGATGATTCGTGAAAACCACAGACCCGCATTTCTAAATCCGTTACGTGAATTTTTCAACAAAAAAAACTGACCCAGCAGAAACTAAAGTACGTCATAAAAATAATATTATGTTTATTAACTATTTCCTTGATGACAATGTGGTGAAATCTGAATAGTAATTTTGGTAACAAGACAAGAAATTTGCTGACATTTGCAGCTTTACGATGATGATTTTCGTGAATTGAAAATGTCATTGTTCAATTCGCGCCTAAACCATCAACAGTTTTGTTTCTTTTGCTTTGAAATTGTTCGTGATAATAGTCAAACTACGGATTCCAATCTCCGATTTATTACTAATCTTTACTAATATTATAAATACGAATGTTTGGATGCATGGATAGATGTTTGATTGTAGGTTTTGCCAAAAGGCTCAACAGATCTCGCTGACATTTGGCATAGATGTAGAACGGAGTCTGGCAGAAAACATAGGCTACTATTTTTTTTTAATTCCGCTCTGACGGAGTCGTAGGCGACAGCTAGTTATGCCATAGCTTCGAAATTCGTATCCATAGAAAATTCTATCCATGACAATAGTTTGAAGGAATATTAACTATTCCATAAATAATTTAGTACTTCCAAATTTGACACACTTTCCATTTCAATATAAACAATAGAGACTAATAAACATAACGCATTCGTAAAATTAATGTGTCGTTATTATTCAACGCCATCTCGCGGCGTTTCCGGTCACTTTCGCCGGGAGGATAAATACGGGCGCACGAGCCCAAACATTATACAACACGATATTACGTCAATCTTTTTAATTACAAAATGATCGTAAATATAATTTGAAAAGTAATTACACAACAGTGACGTGAATTATAATTAAAATTGTTTTTACTTAATATTCGCACACTACAAAAATTAACAATGCCTTCTTGATTCTTTAAAATATTGAGAGCACTTGAATGTACTAGTTCACAGGAATTGCATAATTTCCTCCATGGCTATTCTTTTATCGGACATACAAACACAGTGATTTTATTTTATAACTACGCTGTTAAAATTACACGATCAAATCAGAAAACCAACCAATGGATTTGAATCGCTGCAAGAGTAGAGAAAGTGTGAAGAAAATATGGACGGATTTTATTGTACGAAAGAGGATATGTATTTTTTTATAATATAATATAAGGTGGCAAACGAGCGAGCGGCCACCTGAAATCGCTGAAATAGCGAAGTGACCGTTGCCCATAGACATATGTAATTGCATATGCGTTGCCTTCCTTTAATCGACGGAGGAGAGGATGCACACAAAGAAAATATCTTACCTTCCCATGCATCCTCTCATCCGGAAAGTCCACTTCCACTTCCCATCCTTTCCTTATAAAGAAAAGGATGGGAAGGGAAAGAGGACTAAATTAGGCCTCCGGGACGCACAGTCATCAGACTGCACGCAGAATAGCTTCCACTTGAGGCGTGTCTTCTGTGTGGTCGTGGTATTTCACCGGACGAGCCGGGACAATTCGTGCGAAGATGTTAAAGCGGGCTCTACCACTGTTAAAAAATGTACGGAAGAGACATATAGAAACTGCGCCGACCGTCGTAGGGAAAAGGGCTGGAAGTAATTTCAAAAACAAAATACAATCAAAGTATTTTACATAAATATTTTCATCAATTTTTTATCAATTTTTGTGCACATCTGTACATAGCAGATGTGAGATGGCTGTAATCAGATGTAACTCTTGATAAGATATAAGGTAATCAAATTTATCATCTCGAATAACATATAATATTATTTAAATAATATGTTTAGAATCACCACATTTTAATATATTTATACCACGCCATGTCTTAAAACAGACTTAAGTTAGACGTAGTTCTTTCCTTTTAGCTTCTGTTAATCAAAATAAATTTTACTAATATTATAATATAAATGCGAATGTTTCGATGGATGTTTGTAGGTATCTTCAGCACGACAGAATGGTTCTCGGTGAAATTTGGCATATATCCAGAAGAACACATAGGCTACTTGATAAGTTAAGTTTACTATTCTAACACCGCGCGGACGGAGTCGCGGGCGACAGCTAGTACATAATAAATAACCATTTACTGCCATATGAAATACAAAATGGTGGTGGTAAAGTAGATCAGCTGAGCCGAAATGTGTCGAAATTCAATGTCGAGCTAATTATCAGTCATAAATTGTAGACAAACTAAGTATTTATAGACAGATAATTAATTACAATCCAACGACAGATTTAATGAAAAAAAGTGAGCGTAGAATTCTATGCAGTTAGTCTATGGTGACAACATTTCTAGGTTGGAAATTGCATCATATTTATAACTTTTATAATCTGTCGCCGGCGACTCCTTCCGCGCGGAATTAAAAAAACTTAGTAGCATATGTGTTCTTCCAGACTATATTCTACATTTTAGCCAAATATCAGCGAGATCCATGCAGCCGTTTTGGCGATACTTTGAAACAATTATCCATCCATCTAAACATTAGTAAAATAGAGAGTGTTTCGCGATATGAGATGATCAATAAACTTAGTTGCATAACTTCAACTGAGCAGGGTGTAATGGTTGTGTTGCGACACCTCAGGAATGCGCTAATACGTTTATGATTGCCTGGTACAGTCGCTGAGAAATGGCGGGTAACAGCCGCCATATTGGACGCGCTGTCACCCTCATTATTAAATCGTCAGAGATGAATATTTACTTCCTACTTTCTTTATTTTTTAACTTAGTTTTTAATCATGTATTTATTTTTAACTAGCTTCAATCTTATTTCCACTGAGTAGACTGCAGCGAATTT